AACATCAACTCTGGGGTCCTCTATAGCTCTAGCTCGAGCACCACCTCGACCCCGTACTCCTCTTCCTGCACCCCTTCTTGTACCCCTTCCTGTTCCTATTCCTACACCTCTTCCTTCGCTACTCATCGTCACAATTCTACCACTCTCCTACCTGCTATAATTCCATACAGGAATTAGAGACCTAGGCCAACTATACCAGTCTAGTCCTAGGCAGTGAATTACAACGATAATCCACTTAGCAGGCAATTCACCATCACAACACAAATCACAGTCAATAAGTTTTGTGTACATAACTCAGGTCCAGACGCACCTGCGCTTCAATCATTACAACACTCAATTCAATCAGCAATCACCACAACAGTCCCGAAATACGCGTAGCGCTAGACACACCTATTGTTCACTAAGGTCTCCCTAGCCAACTACAGCTACCCTAGATGGCTACCCCAGGGTTCCACCTCCTTATCACTCCAGGCTTCGACCGACTTAGATCGAGCTGTCCTCGCTCTGATACCAATTCAACTTGGATGTCACGCCCCAAACCCCATCGAGTACGCGACATCCCTCTTCAGTCGAATTAGTGCAACGTCCCAGGAAACGTCGCCGACCCAAAACGAACCCATCAGAGTTTAATCACGGCGGAAACAACAAACACCCAGACAATGATTTACCAGGGGTACTAGGGAGAATAAATTGCCAAACCACCAAATCTTATACTATACCTCGATTTAAGTACGATATCCATTTACAATATAAACTTATGCCACAACCGTCATTTACAAACCACAAAGCAAAATATGCACACTGAACTACCAAACTGCAAACCACCAATATCACAGAAACATCAGTAGCCTGGGTAAGCACTACACCAAAATGGGACACTTCCAAACTCTTCCTCAGCTCCAAAACTAATCCCTACGCCCTCTAGATGGTGTCCACTCTGACTCACTCTCTTCGGAATCCTCATCCGAATCTTCATCAGGCACATGCTCATCCGATGACTCCGAATCGGCCTCAATCTCGATCGGGTATTCTACAACATCATGATCGGTGTGCATAACAATCACAAAACGTTGCGGCGGCGGCGACGGAAGGTTCATGGCTCGGGCGGGTGCTCTGAAATGGTTTGGTTGATACAACTATGAGACACTTCTCAATAAGTACACAACCTAAACCTTACCTAGGCTACCACATATTCCAGACAAGTCCAGACACCGAATCAAGCAACATACAAACAACATCCACACAATCGTACTTACCTGGTTCTCAATACACACAACCTGCACGGTAGTCTTACATTCACATTTACAAATCACATGCTCTTTTCAACCCAATCTCATGCTCGAAGGCACATGTCAAACACACCACATTCCCGAACTCCACAATTCACACACGTTCATGCACCACCACATCATTTTCATTTAACTTGCCACATCGCAACATCTCGTGCTCAATCACTTTCCTCAGCCCGCATAAACACTCATCAGGCCTACATGATCGCGACCCACGTAAACACGCCTCAGGCCCGATCCCATTCTCACTTTCTTTCCTCAACCTACGTAAACATGCCTCAGGCCTACATGATCGCGACCCGCGTAAACACGCCTCAGGCCCGATCCCATTCTCACTTTCTTTCCTTAGCTCGCGTAAACACGCCTCAGGCCTACATGATCGCAACCCGAGCATAACACACCTCAGTCCGATCCCACAGTCGTATCACAACCCGTGTAAACATGCTTCAGGCCGGTTCAATTCCCCGCGTAAACACGCCTCAGGGATGTAGTGATCACACGAACATACCAACACACCGTATTTTATCTGTACCCCGTGTAAACACGCCTCATGGCTTTTTAGTGATCACGCGCACATCACACGTTCACATACTCGAACATTAATTAAATGCACCCAATTCAACCATTTCAATTCAGCCCACATACAAACACACATTCAAGCATCAATTCCAGTCACGAGGGCAGCAACTATTCAACCTCGACACCCCCACCATTCCGCTCATAAAAATGAACATCCATAGAATCAGGGTAAATCTGAGCAGTTTACACAGTGACCGAAATCCCATCAAAATAAATAGTAAACGCGCTCCAAAAATTCCAAATGTTGGATATATCATAAAAAACATCTTGATAAACATTTCTTATGAAGAACACAAAATCCGGTTCAATCTACAACCTTGCCTTTTTTTCCCTCAAAATCAGACCAGAATCAGTTCGCTCTAACAGACTATTTTGTCCTCAAAATATATTTCTTTCAACACCCAAATCACCTTGAAAAGCTTTGAAATATTTATATGTCATAGAGATGAAAGTCGCCAACAACTTTGTGAAGGAATTTTATTGAAAATAGATCTGGAAAACCTTATAAAAATTCGGCAAGACAAGAAGGTCGAGATGAACAGTGTTCCGGGCAGTTTTAAGACAGTCTGAAAATGGGTTTTCATGCGACCTAAATGGCCTCCAAAAATTCCAAATTTAAAATATGTTATACCTCAAGATGTTGGGAGGAACTTTTATGCAGAAAACTTCCTCAAATTCGGCCCACAAAAATCTCCACAAAAATAGCAAACCGAATGGGTATAGTAGTCACGAATCCGAGTTTTGAACTAAACAACGAAGATTCAAGTTCTAGTTCACACCCATGGATCTCCAACCCACAAAACTCATTCCTAGATGTCTAATCCAACATGCAACAGCCACTAACAGCCATGATCAGCCACCAACAACCATGATCAGCACCCTAATCAACCCCTAAACTACCCTAAACCGCGTCTATACGAGTCCGTTAATACCTAATATCCTAAATAGGGTTTAGATTGTAACTTACTTGGAAATTTCCAAGCAAAATCAACATATCCAAGGTTGACTAGGCGGTTGGAATGCGGCGGCTACGGTGGTGGCGTGGCGGATGGCGGCCGAACGGCGGTGGCGCGGCCAAGGGGAGAGGGGCGATCGGCGGTGAGGGAGAGGAGAGGGAGTTGCCAAGAGAGAGGGAGAAAGAATGGGGGAGAGAGAGAGGAAAATGGGTTTAAAAACCAATAATTTGTGCCCCTAATTGCAAAATTACCATCTTGACCCTCTACTTTTCAATCGACGGCCGAGATTCGTTCTGATCTTGAGATCGACGGCCGAGATCGAATCTTTTCCAAAAATATCCAAGGGTAATTTGGGAATTTCATAAAATTCCAAGGGCAAAATTGTCCAAAAATTGTCATTTCTAAAGTTAGGGCGAAATGACCAAAATGCCATTCCCCAATAACACTTGGCCTTAACAAAGCTCAAGGGCTAAAACGGTCATTTTCCATCCTTCAACGAAATTCAGTTTTTTTGAAGGATTTGGACAATTCCAAGACTGAACATTCCAATAACAACGTCATCCAAATATCCTGTAGTGACTTCCTAAATTTTTGATCCCCAATTTGGTCTCTAATTAAGAACGGAATTTTATATAACGTAACTTGAGCGTGTCTCAGACTAACGGGCGGCTTTTAGGGAAATTCGCATATTCGACCCGTGACTGATACTAAATCAAGTCACGTGCAAGTTCATTCGGATCGTGACGACCTCGGTTGTCAATGTAATCGCGAGGATCGATCGCTAGTTCCGATGGGCGTGATCGTTCGGCATAGGTTCTGGATTGTTCGTCAACTCACCTCATGGTCAAACGGAATCACCTGTGATCCACTCATATGACAATGACGAACCGGCCCATAACTATCCTAAGATCGGCCTACATTGGCTCAAAATGTCACCTCAACGATTCCATGGTCGAAAGTCAGTTCACGACCGAATTTCTTTAGTCGCACAAATTTAAATCCCTAATTAGCCCTTCCCTAACGGTTAGTATCCCAGGAATGATCAGTTCCGAGCGAGACCTAACTACAAGTACGTTCATAAAACCACTCATTTCATAAATCCCAAATGGGTAAATTTCAGAATGTCACAGTAAGTAGGTCGCAAACACCTAACACGAATCTAATTGGCATGCAACTTAGTAAACCAATTTCAATACTAGGACTCAACATCCTCAGCATTATTCTGCCAAAAAAGAGGTGTTATATAAAAAATCGTGATATGAAGATATGATAAAAAAATAATAATATAAAATAATCAATTCTCACATCTAAGCACGAAACAAATGATTGTGAATAGAGGCTCCCATAACTATGGTTAAGCATCACAGATTAGATACATGTAGGATCCATTCACTGTCATCCGAGCACCCACCAGTTAGTTTTCTGCTCATTTTCTTTGGATAACTGAGTTTTCATTCTCATCCTTAGCTTGTTGACAGTAAACTTAACACAGGAAAGAAGAGTTTCACTTACTACAGCGAGTGCAATTAGTGGAATTTGGTAGTATAAATTTCCCATAAACAATGATTAATGACCTACAATTTCTATTATACGCTTATAGGAGAGATTACCAACTTGTTGAATTAGACTCAAATCAGATTTTACTTCACCCTTTCCAGCCACTTAATGTTGGTAATTCATATCATTGCATATGATATGTTCGTATGAGGAATCAACATCAGGATGTTCTGAAAAATATAGCGTGTCTCAAGATGTGCGAAGCATAAGTTACTGTAACAAATTCCCATCTCCTATCTAATCACCTCCAAGACTGTTCTCTGAGATGCGTCAAACTTAATTATCTATCAAGGAAAATGGTCAAATGCAAAGATAATAACGTGCACCTGCAGATGATTGAGGACAACCAGCTGAAGTTCTTTTCCAGCACCACAGACAACTTTTGATACATGCTTCATACCCTATCACTGAACAAACTAGCATACTAATATTATAAAAACCAATAAAAAAAAAAACCAAAGTCCTACAGCAGCATCGGAGCTTAAGAAACCAGCCATACCACTTCACCCATAGAATTAACAAGAAACTGATGGACTGCAGGACTGGTCCTAGTACCACCGAGAAGCCTAAAAAATTCCTCCTGAGGAGAAGAGTCAGATCTATATAAGCAAACGAAAACAATTAAATGAAGAAAAATGAAACGCCATCTACCACTCTGTATTAACAGTACCGCTTGCCATGGTCACTAATAAGGTTTGACAGCAAATCAAACTTCTCATGAAATATGTTGATGGCATCGGCCCACTGCTTATGCATGACTGATAATGATGTCCGGATGACATGAAGTAAAATATCAATGTTCAAAGCCTGTTGAGCAACTTGATAAAGTTCATTTTTTTTTCAGACAGGAAGAGATTGATAATCTAAGGAGGCATTCGGCCGATAAAGATTCTCAAAAGTCTGTTCTGATTTCAATTTGAGAATTAAAACAGAACAGAAAATGCTTTGGTAACACTCCAAAAGCAGTTGATGCATAAAAGGAATACTATTCTCAAAATCGAAATCACAAACTGAAGATGACTTTTTAGTATTCTCATTCCACATGCAAACATGGAGATTTGGAATAACTAAGACTGTTTTTTGAATGTGATGTAACCTGATCATAGTCTCACAATTTTCATCCCTAATTTTCATCCCTAATGACAAATATTATTTTCACTAAAGAAATATTTTGTCAAAAACATTGAAAACAGTTTCTATGAAAATGGAAACTAAAGGCGTTTTCTAAAACTAAGTAGGCCTTAGACAGTTGAGAACAAAAATGACGAGTGAATCATGTGACAATATTTAAAATTTTGCAACAAATTTGCCTCACAACTTACAACATCTGAACTTTATAGTTTCTAGAGGTTTTTACTGAAAGATAGTATGATACTTACAGGTTGGGTAGAAATCTAAAGCATGAATAAAATAATTCAGGCTTCAAAGTATGAGGCATCATGTTGCTCAGCTTATAATGACTCTCAAAAGTCAACTTAAGCATTTAAAATTATCAGCAGGAAAGTTCTTCCATCATGTAAAGTTTAAAGTTATTTCTAAGAAAATTGCCTTGAAATTGCTCTATGTTAACTATCCATTTCTTTTTAAGGATGATGATAATATCCCGAGTAAATATGAGTTTTACTTTCCTTATGACCAAACAAAGTTACGTACCACTGAAACAAATATTAGTGCACATAAACAACCCAATATAATCGTAATATCAAGTACAATCACCACTACATAAACTAGAACAGAAGTTTCACCTAAAACTTCAACAACATTAATCCTAGTGCAACTAAGTCATCTCTAGATTTCCACTTGTATCACCTTCATTCACTCTTGGTTTTTCCATAAAACACCAACTCCTTAGTTCAACATCATGTTCTCAATTACACTTTCAAGGACTTCACCTCTATATTTGTCCTCCATCGAAAGCAAATCGAGCTAGATTGGCAATTACTATGACGCCCCGACCTCGGGGTCATTAACATGACGTCCCGTTCATTATTATCTTCCGTTATACACAAGCGGAAGCATATCTCGGGACAATCACATTTTAAACAAACAGCGGGATTCAGACAAACAGCATCATGAGCAAACCTTGTATTTATAGGACACGCAAACATATTTTACAAGCTAACTTAGCCGATTTTAGCCATTTACACATAATAACAAGTGGCTTGGGTGTCCTAAGCCCACTACTTCGGATTCACCGCTCCTAGCTTTCCCCGAACTCCAACATGGCTCGACCTCCTCTTGTCGCCGCCGTCCGTTCGACCATCCTATGAACCTGAAGGAGGGGAAAAATGGGGGATGAGTCGGGGAGACTCAGCAAGTGAAAACACTAATATCAAGCGAGGATATATCGATCGCCGTTAACATAAGTCGGCCCTTACCGCACCCGCATCGACGGCAGATCAATAGCAAAGTTCAAACAAGAGAACATCACGCATGGCCACATCGTGCACACTTTACAAACCAAGGCTCGGTTCTATCTCAAAACAACATCAAACATGAAACATGATCAAATCGAGAAATGAACCAACTACGACCAACCAAACAACCGAGAAACGGTCCAAGCAAACCACGTCACAACGCATCTCAACATCCTTTCCCGATATTAAGGAATTCACTTGCACAACAATTAAACAAGAACTAGAGAAAACGAGGCGTGTGAAGGACACGTGAGTCTCGGCAACTCTCGGGCGATTCTTGGGTGGTTCTCGGGCTTGAACACGAACACTCGGGCCTTGCATAAGGCTTCCTCTATTTATAGAACTTCAAACTTGCTCACCAAGTTGCTAATCCAAGCTTGTCTAAGAAGATAGATGACCATCATGACAAGGTCTCAAAGTCAAGACTCATCATGGCTTTCATTTAATGCCATTAAATGCTCTTAATGAACTAAAATGATGAAGAGGCCAATGCTTATCTTCTTCTTATTGGCTCTCTCTCTCTCTCTCTCTCTCTCCCTCACGGCTATTCTCTCTCTCTCTCTCTCTCCCCTTGGCCGAATGGCCTTTCTTTCTATTTATAGAGAGACAAACTTGGGCCCAAAGTTTGGGGTGAAGTCATGGCATATGTCATGTGAAGCATGAGGTCATTGCTTACCTCACATGGCCATTAAGAACATAAGCCAAAAGCCATGATGAAGGTGATAAGCTTGGACCAATAAATGTGACTTCCACAAGAAGATTAACCCTTGACTTGGTTAATTTCGTTTTCACATCTTCCCAATTCATTTGACCTCCAATTAAAGCATAAAATATCTCATTTGAAAGCTTATAATGTGTATTTTAAATCATCAGAAGACACCAAGTCCAAATTCCAACGTTCTCGTATAGAAAATGCTGAATCTTTGAAATCTGACAAAACTGGACAGTTTTGTACTGTTCACGAAAATCGGACTTGAAAATATAGTAAATGGACTCCGAAAATTCTCAAATTTGAATATGTCATAAACAAGGCCTTAAAAAACATTTTTTGTGGAGAACATGAAATCTGAATCTCTATGTAAACACCATTTTTAGTAGCTCAAATATAGACTAAAAACAGTTCGCTAGAACAGCATTCTTGTTTCTCAAAGTATGCTCTGTCCAGAATCCAAATCATCTCGGAAAATTCCCAAATTTATACACGTTATAGAAAAGGAAGTTCTAAACAACTGTTGTGAAGGAAACTTTTCCAAAATCGGCCCAGAAAAGCTCGTAGAAAATAAAGACGGTGTGAACATCACCGAAATATCCGTTCTGGGAAGTTTCACACGGTCCGAAAATCAGGCTATCGTTCCACTTATATCAACTCCAAAAATTCTTAAATTAAAGTATGTAAAACTTCAAGATGTTTGGAACAACTTTGAAGAAGAAAGTGTTTGAAAATTCGGATCACAAAAATCTCCCCAAAAATAACAAAATGAAGGGTTACAAAGGATCCGAAACTGGGTTTTCCAAAACAAGAGAAAACAATTTAGTCCCAATTGGAAAACCACCAAACTTAAACCATAGCCATTTTACCAGGGACTGAAATTGAGGATACTACAATTTGCCTGCTGCTTCCCAGGCCCAAAAATCAGGATGTGACAATTACAGTGGTTCCTCTCGCGAAAAGGGAGCATAGCACATTTAGGAAATGAGAAAGAAGTAAAATGAGATAAAGTAAATGACTCAAATGGCGCACCAAGCCATGGTTGAAGAAACGAACACATTGAACAAAAAAGAGAACTTTCTCTAGTCAAAACAATTACCAGGAGAGACTGTTCACAGCCTCTGCCAATTGAAGTGATGAAGCACCACCTTCGAGTCCTCCATATCCATCGCCAGCAAATCCTTCTCCGGGTTTCACTCCACAATCTTCACCTGCCAATTGGAAATCAAGTAACTTCATAAAACCGAGTCAGAACAATCGAGTTGACCGCCCATTAGGTCGCAAAAGAATGCCGAATGGGAGCCAAACCTAAGAAGCCAGCGAGTCCGAGAGTATGCGGAGAATATCTTAGAAGAGAAACAAGTGGGAGAAAAAATAAGAGAGACAGACAGACTTACATACATACTTGATTACAGGAGTGGAGGCTAACACTTTCAGCTCCACAAAGCTTCTATCAAATATAATCCGAGCAATGTGGGATGATAACATGCTAACAACCTTTACCATTCCAAGGATGCATTGTCAGGGTTTGGAGAAGTTCCTGGAACATCGAGCTCCTGATCCTTTGATGATTTCAATTCCTTTTAGAAATGCCTTGCGAAAGTTCTCTTGGATATTACAGCATTTACATCAAGCAGTGGAATGATAACCAAATCCTGCCAGTGAGTCAGATGAAATCAATCCAGCAACTAAGATCACCGAACTACAAATAATACTCTGAAGTTTACGAATCTCTATTTGTCAAACTCAATATGCTTTTTGAACGCTTTGGATCCAACAAATGGGGCATCTAGCATCATCAACCACAGAAGCCTTGATCAAAATTAGAATAGTGAATTCAACTCAAGTTGCTTGCTTTTGTGGGACATGGTATGATTCTTTTCCTCATCATTATGTACTATTCATGCATTTGAATTAATGCAACACAGTTTTCAAATGGCATATAGAATACCGAAAGTTTCATCAGGAAACTTATGGAATTGCTTCCTCTGTTTTTATTTTCAGCAAGTAAATGCACTAACAAGAGCTTATGCACAATATAAGGGATTATTTCACAGTACAGTTGATTATGTCAAAAGACGTTCTAGTTAATGTCTTGCTTGGCTCAAAAGTTCAGGCATATGACAGATGATTTTACCAACTCTACAAACATCAAGATGCATTCTTTGGAAGAATGATGTCTGTTTCATTTCTATCCTTATGCAGTTTGCAGGCGGATTTGATTCAGAGACAATGCAAGCGTAAAATGTGTGGTACATAATGGTTGGACAAATTTTAACCCAAGTCAGTAGCGTATGCATACTAAGGGATGCCCTGTCAACATGCTCCTTTTGCACCGTAAATTCACTCGTAAGGGTACCTTAGAAACATGCAGTCACGAACTGCATGATGAGTGCAAAGCAAACTAAAACCTCACATTAGAAGGACTTCCATATAGGGTCCTTCATTTAGCATTTCTCGGCCTATACGATAACCTTTGGCATGCTATCAGATACCTGTATACATCAGTTTTTATTCAGTACCTCCAACATTCCAGAATCAATCAAACGTCGAGAATCTTTATTTTTCTGCATAGGATGAAGGATCCTACCCGAAGACTAATGACAAATGATGCACTTAGAAAGCCTTTTCTTCTATTTCCATTGCTGGCATGATAAGCAGAATCATATTGCCAAAGCACACATTGACTTCCATGAACATCTCCCCCAAATACCTTGAATCCAAGTAAGGATACAATCATGACACTGTCAACCAGGAAATACAAATGAAAATTAGGCGGTAGATCTCAAAAGAGCAAAGGTAACTTACCTGCTTTATGTACCCTTAGTTAGAAAATGTGGACCATTTCCAGTATATTACTCACACGGCTGACCAAAATGGATATCCAATTGTCTTTTACTCGTAATTTCGGTAAATCCGCACTCCAGATAATTCTGGAATTGTTTTGAGTGACTTGCATCCACCGATCCTCAGTTCTTCCAAAAACTCCAACCTATCGAGGCCTTGAATTTCGGCTAAGTTTTTGCATGCATCAGCGTCTAATATCTTCAGCCTCCAGGATTTTGGAAGGTCTAGCCTTTTAATTGAATCGCTCTCAGAGACATCCAAGCTTTCCAAAAACTCCAACCTATCGAGGCCTTGAATTTCGGCTAATTTCTTGCACGATCCAACATCTAATTTCTTCAGGCTCTTGGATTTTGGAAGGAGCAGCCTCTCAATTGAATCGCACTCTAAGACAGTCAAGCTTTCCAAATATATCAATTTGTCAAGTTCAAGACCTCAAACTTCAACTAGATTCTCGCAATCAGAGACGTATAATGTCCTTAGATGGATAAACTGTGAAACGTCCACTGTTTTAATAGATCCATAGCGCCAAACTTCCAAGATTTCCAACTCGAAGGGAGTGTTTAGGGATTGTGGTAATTCTGATTCTTCAATGTCTGTCGGTTGGGAGCATTCTGAATTCTTCAATAGTGTTGATGGAAGCACTTCGATGCACTCCAGAACTTTGCAGCAAGCAACTTGTAGTCACTTGAGATGGGTTAGGTGGGAAAGTGAGGGCAATTTGCGGCTTCCACAGGTGACCCTCAAATCTGTTAAGCTAGAAGGAAGG